TCTATTTCATGGGTTCAATCATGTTTTTCCCATTGTGTAGTAAAAACTTTCATGCTTTTAAAAGAGAAGAGAATTACTAAAGATTAATAGAATTTTGATGAAGATTATTTTTTGATAGTTTGTTGCCAATGGTACAAGTTATGCTTAGAATACTTCTAAAGGAAATTAAAAAGAGCTTTAATTATTTTGAACAACTATAATGGAAAATATTTTGTGGATCAAATTATTAAGAGTTGCATGCTTATGTTAAAAGTGGAAACCCAATGCCTTAGTGTTTTAATCAATTAAATTTTCTCTAAATCAAATCTTGCATAAATCAACCTCTCAATCACACTTGTTTTTTTTCAGCTCTGCTATCTTTACACCGCTCTCTGTGGATACGACACTCGGACTTCCGAGCTACACTGCTATACGACACCTCCCTTGGGTTTTGCAAAGTGGTGCGAACATGTCCATCACATGCAAAACTGCAATAAAACTCGCCATATGTTCCATTTCCCCTTATTCATATCTTATTAAACTATTTTCTACTAATTTTGGCCAAGAAAAACTATTTTCCATTAATACACTCTTTTAACTTGCTTTCTTTTCCATTTCCCAAAATTAAAAGTGGATTTAGAACGTTTGTAATAACAAAATAAAGGATAAGAGGGCAACTAATTATTGTTTAGTTTACAATTTAATTTTAGAAAATCCATCAAATCATTTTGGTAACATTGAATTAGATCTTCAAACATCTATAATTTTGAAGATCATAATTCTGATTTAGAAACCTAAAACATTTTCATTTTACTTTTCATTTTCTAAGTATGACATCCGTTTATTTGAAGGGCTAAAATAAGATAATCGATATCATATATCTTTGTATTTTCAATTTGATTTCTGAATCGATAAATGATCTTGCATAACATAACATGTAGAAATATTCAGAAAACTTATGGCACATTCTACTATGTGTCTTTAAGTGGGTCCTTTCAAATTGCAGCATCCCAACATGTCCATGTGTATGTATTAAATGTTGCAATACAAAAATTTCTAGCTAGGATATAGTTAATCTGGAGATAACAGTTGAGTAGTATTGTGATGAGCATATGAATCAGAGAAAGAGCTCATGTAATTTTTTTTTTTTCTTATGTGAAAAATACAAGCAATTCTGGTTTCATAACATGGCTGAAAAACAGGGAAAGCACATTTACACAAGCTAATATGAATGCTATTTGAGTGGCAATTTGTCTATTTTAAATGAAACAAACAATTATGCAACTCAATAACTAGACACCAGCAGTAAGAGGAAAAAAAATGGAAATTACATATACATGATCTGTTCATGATGTGAGTCAAGCTTCATATAAGGTGCAATGCAAATGGCGGCATTTTACGAACAACAACCGCTGCTAGGAGGTGCTTGATTTTCCTGTTTCTGCTTCAAAATATTTCTCTTTGCTGCAGTTGAACCTTCTTCCAGGAGACTAGGAACTTCCATTATCTGTTACAGAATTCCAGTTGGTTAGAATTGACAACAGAACAAAATGTCACATATGTTCAGATAATCTCAATCATCTCCCTAATCCCACGACGACTGCTTTTGATTAGCAATACGACAACAAAAATTATATCAACAAGTTTGTAGGGATGAAGTTGCATAAGAACTTCAGTTCAGAAATTATCAAAACTTTCTCATAAGTACCTTTAATGCTAGCTCTTCGAAGCATTGCTCCACATTTTCTCTAGTTTTAGCGCTACATTCAAGAAACAAACATCCAAGATCTTTTGCAAGAGCAAGCCCCTCTTCTCTACTTACAGCCCTTTCAGATTCCTGAAATCACATAGAATTTCTTTCTTAACTTATTCAATAGATTGCGATAATAAAAAAAGGCCTTGTCTTTTCCACAAGTAAATTTAGGCTTTAATATAAACGACTAAAAAGAAAATTACACAAATGAAACCTAAAAGAAGTTTGTGACCTTCATTCTTGACAGTTGCATTTGAAGGCTTATAACTCATTTTAAGATCCTCTAAACTTGGGGTCACTTTGGTGACATGATCATCCGACAAACCTATTGGTGATTGAAATTTCCCATCCTTACATCGTGCCCATTCTTTCTTAAGCTCTCCCCAGTGTTCTGGTCCCTTCTCACTCCCTTCCTTATAATCAAACTCATGCTCTGCACCAAAAACCCAAATTCAATATAAAATGTGATAATGGTTATATGGCTCTTGATAATGAAATCAATCCAAGCATATATATTGCATTACCAGCTTCTTTAGCTCTAATCAGTGTTGGATGCCAGTAGAAAAGAAAAAATGTAAAAACTAAGAGCTGAAGATGGGCTTGCTTTGATTCAACCATCATTCACAGCTTTTTTTTAAAAAAAAAACAATTAAGATTATATGAAAATGTTAAGACAATATTGATGAACTGTGAGTGTATGGATAGTGAAATTTATGGAGCTTCCTCAATCACACATGGCAGCAATATCACTGTATAAGTAACAGGATCTAGATATGGAAAGAAATCAGATATCCCTTTACCCTAATGTCATCCCCATTGTTGGTTTTAAATCCATGTCACCTATATTAGATGCTAATTATAAGTAACATTGCCTTGACTTGTTCACTTGAAATTAAAAGTACTATATATAGACATGAGAATTTGCCAACAACCAATCAGCTCAGGCTGGACCCAGAGTCCCAATTTTTATTTTTATTTTCCTAGAACGATTGGATAATAGATTAATCATCATCAAGGTCATCTTCTCTTTCACTAAAGAAACTCCATAATGACGTGATGCCAGATACTTATATAATATCACTCTTTCAGAAATGGGGTTTGAATGATTTCGATATTCGATTAGGTTCAACGGCTAGTCCCATGCGATTTTAGGCCATTGGATGAAAGTTTGATGGAGCTTCTTGAGACAATAAGAAAAAAAATCAAAATAGTTCATGATAGATATTATATTCGTGACATTATCAATTTATATCATATTTGGCAAATTACCCCATATGATTGGGAAGTAAGGATATAGTGTCCTATAGTAGTCCATTTTTAACAATTCATGAATGCATGGTAACGTATGAAATTTTGGACAAATACTTTGAATGAATCATTTGTGATGCCATTATAAATTAGGAACTCCAACTAGAAACAGATACATTGAAGAACAGAGGAAATTCAAGCATAGACAGTAGCGTGGTTTAAACTAACATAGCACGTTTAACGTATCACAGTGATATATGGAGCACATTGAAGTCCATATATGTGTTCCAAATTTTATTTTTAGAAATCAGATCTAACAAGAGTACAATTTTTTTTTTCTCCATCTTGTTTTGAGCTAATATATAAGTTTGTGAGTCCACTAGGGTTTCTGGCGAACTCTCTTATATCTTCAATTGTAATTAATAATCTTTGGTTTTTGGAAATAGAGGCGGATCATTCGACGATTGAGAGGTTGCAATGGCCTTGCATTCATCTCTGCATACTGCAATTAGTTTAGAACCACATTAGAAAGGAAAAAAAAAAAAAAAACAGAACAAAAATCTTTTCTATGTAATCAAAGGATGGAAGCACAGACAGCCACTTACATCATACACAGACAATCGAAGTAGGTCTATCTGTTCCCGTGAAACTGTCCCAAGCTGCATTGAGGCAATTAAAATTTAGGTAAGGAGCTAGTTAGATAACGTTCTTGGCCCGCACCCAAGAAATAGAAATTAAAAAAGACTAATTCAATTAAAAAGGAAAGGCCTATAGTTGAAGAAGGTTTACTTGTTTGCTCATGATCCAAATAACGCCTTCAGTGCATGGAGGAATGGTGAGTGAGCCTATGTATCTGTAGTAGTTTTTGCCATCCAATTCTACTATTTCTGCAGGATCAATCACCCCAATGCTTCTCTCTGTCTTTTTATCAGTCATAGATGCTATATCCCTCGCCAACTGAAAATTCAGAACCAGCAAATGTTAAAGATTTTTAGGACCTGTAGGACGTCCTGGGAAGACTTCACTAATTTCTTAGAAATTTGATATTTAAAACCTAAAAATCTAAGCTCTAAATGATGATTCTGCACCCTAAAACAATCAACTGTTAATAAATAATATCGAATTAAGTTGAAGAAAATTGAGTGGAAGTGAGGTTTTCACGACGCGTCATATCTTTAAGAAAGATTAGATGTCCTGTACGGTGTATATTCTTACGCTTATAGCATGGCATGTGTATGTAGTATATTAACGCATATAGTATGAGATTTGATGCATGCTAATATTTTGTATTAGTGATAACAAGCAAAAAAACAATTTGTCCAAAATTAATACTGGTAACTCGGGCTAAGTGGTGTAATGTAGGAGGCTGGCTCTTTCACCTTTGAGAGGAAGGCATCAGGGCGACCAATCTGGTAGAGGACTCCAACAACAGCAGTATTGCTTTCCACTTTCGGATCCATGCTTTGATAAACCATGTGGAGCTCCATATCGTACCTAACACAGGAAACTAGATCATGAGCATATCAACAAACAAATTTTATGCGTCACAATTTTCTGGCATTAAGAGAGACAGAGACCTCTTGCCATTAATGGAATGCTCGGAGGGAGAGTGCCAGTGGCTTTGTTTTAGGAAATACTGAATGCCACTGATCTCAATCGATCCGGCGTTGCCAGCCCACTCAAGCTGCATCCACCACATAAATACGATTATGAACTACCCCTTTACGTAATTAATATCTCCTAAATATGATTATGAACTTCAGAGTTTCCTTAATTACCTTAATGTCATGGCCTCTATTCTTGAGAGTGGCATTAGAAGGCTTGTAAGTCCTCTTTAGCTCCACCAAACTTGGGAGTATTTGAAAACTCTTACCTGGCAAATCTATTGGAGATTGCATGCCTCCATGTTTGCATGCTGCCCATTCTTTCTTGATCTCTCCCCAGTAAGCTGGCCCCTTCTTGCTTCCCTCAACATAATCAAAATCTCTCTCATCCTCTGCACCAATATAATATATATGTATTAGTATCCATAATCTTGGTTTTGATTGAATTTTGATTAAACCCAAGTGTTAAATTCAAGCATGTATTTTCGATCTAAGAAATGGATTATATGAGAAAAATAAAAGAATAAAAACATGTATTTTCATTCTGCATACCAACTTCTTGAGCTTTGACGACTGATATTGTTGAATGCGTGAACAGAAGTACAAAAACTAGAAAACGAGAAATGATGAAGATGGGTTTGCTTTGATGCTTCATGTTGATCATTTATTAGATGAAACATGCAAGTCTTTGTGATGCTCTGATCAGTAGCAGTTTTTGATTGGTATATATAGATAAAAACAACTGCAATTAAATTGAGGACAAAAAAGGGAGAGGCATTGCGATCACAAGTTTTTTGGATAGTCTTGGGCGGTATAACATGAGACGTCTCAAGACTAATGAATGCCATATAAATTACAAAGGCAATTTTATTGTACACTGCCAGTTTTGAGTTTGCTACCGAAAGTTTTGCATGATTTTGATCAATATGAGGAAAAGCCGGTAAAACTTAGACGAACATGAGCTGGGTAGAGTTTGGGTTGATTTTAGGTCTAAACCTCATCACGCTTGAGAAGACATGTAAAAGGAAAGTTTCACAATCCAAGGATTTCATTTTGGTTTATATTACTTTGGAAACTCAAAACCCAAAGTAATTGCATGTGTTTATGCCAAACAGAAAATAAAGTAAAATTTGTTTGGACAAAGAGAATAAAGTAAATGCATAATTTGGAAGTTTAACATGGGCTTAGCCAAGTTGGCTAGAGCGGATGTGCTCCCCACTCTGCACCCGAGTTTGAATCACCCTCCCGTAATTTAAATTAAATTAAAATTAGAATACCGCTTGTATAAAAAAAAAAATTATACACTTGAGTTTAGCAATACAATGAACCTTCGTGTTCTTCTTAATTTCTCTCATAGATAGGAGAATTTCTAAACAACTAGCCATACCCATACATGCATCTAGAAAATATTCTAAAATCTAATTATTTCCCAACAATATATCATGCAAAATATATTGATGTATAGGTCAATCAAATGGGTTTTCAGGGTATAAAAAAGCATGACTTGGATGATCCCTTTTATTTTATCTACTGTTCAAATTTTGTGTGTTTTCAGGATTATAGCATTTACTTTAGCAGAGAAACTATCCGAAATTGTAACCAACTTTGCACATCACCAAGCCAGCAATGCCAAATAACAACAAAGAAATTAAAAGCTAGTTTAAATACAACTAACACCGAATTCAAGAATCAAAATCAGACAATCAATATAAATAAAGGAAGTCTAAGAGCTTCATATACCCAAGCGTTTATCATAAGTGTGGGAATCGAATTAATTCATAATCTTAGGTCAAATAATTCCTTCAATTTGGGGATTATTTGACCTAATTGGGAATTATTCAATTTAATTGGGGATTACCCAATTAAATAGAATGTTACCTAATTAGGTTGAGGATTGATTTGATTCCTACGAATATTCTCAATTAAAGGAAGAGTTACCTAATTAAATTAGGTATTGATTTGATTGATTACCACAATTAGGGATTTGATTTATATCCCTAATAGATCAAATCCCTAATTAGTCAAATCTCGCCAAATTGGGGAGGAATAATTCCCTTCCATCTACCGAATTATTCCTCTGAAACCCTAGCTCTCGAGACCTCTATAAAAGGATGGCCACACACAAGGGTTGAGGTACGTCTAAAATTACTACCAAATCTCTGCATAAATTATTTCTCACAAATCCTAGCCGCCACTCTCTCTCTCTCCCTTTTACACAAGGCTCCGGCCACCACTCATGGTTCCGGCCACCCGGTTT